ACATTCAAAAAAATGTTTGTATTTATAGAGTTCCGAATAATAAAATTTTGTTACTAATTTTTCGAAATTTAAATAAAACGAATGTAACTTCTGTAAAAAGATTTTTACTATGAATAAAAGAAGTTCAAACGTTTATTCCATAAATAAAAATTACAAAATTTATGCCATATAAGATAAAATTTAGTGATTCTTAAGGAATAAAATTAGTTCTTTAAACTTCTGAGCAAAATATAGTATAACAGTGAATTATCTACTTCTATATGGAACCTACAAATGTATACAGAAAATTACTAAAATCTCTATAAAAATGCAATAATTTGATGTTCGGTCACTTAGTTGAGATCACTTAAAAAATTGGATCCATCATTATGTCAATACGAATACTTTGATTCCAATTATTTAAATCGGTCCCCCTTAAAATATCGAAACAGCTTGAGCTAGCTATGATAGAATAAATAATATGGAATTATATGAAACATATTCATTTTATATTATTTATGCATTTTTATTGATCTATTTTACATGATGTTAATAAAAGGTTATATAAATAATATTTGTGCAATGACAATTTTGTTTCACAAATCATTCTAATCACTTGTGTTTACTAAATTTAAAAAAACTAATTTTATTTAAGCTTTGTATAATTAATTTATACGCTTTAAGGTAGAAACATATTACCTGACAAAGCGTTACATGAGTTTTCAAAAAAATATGAGTTCTTTTTTAAATATATCTTTTAAAATATGATGTATCTATTATTTAATTAATTTATGTAAATATTTTCTTAAAATTACATGAAATGACTTTCTGTGACTCTACTTAAATTAAACAAAATTTTCTCAGAATTTTATTGATACCACGAATAATGTTTATGATGTCAGATATAAAAAATATATTCGTGTATGCGATTATTCACACATGTTTCCTGTATTTTTATATACTAATAATTTAAAGTTAAATATATATATATATATATATATATATATATATATAACCTATTATTTCCTTTCGGAAATACTTTGATTGATTTCTTGTGTGCCATTTTATTTTTTAATGGTCTAAATTTTACGATGAGTCTTTATGGTCGTTTGTCAACAAAAAACATGAAATCATTTTGGGCTAAAAAGTCGCGAATCTTGTCAAATTAAAAGTCAATATATTATCGAAAATCAATTTTTATTGCATGTGGCTTTTAACCTTTGCCTAGACACATCAAAACCTGTCTGAGTAATCTGATAGTCCCTCTGATTTAGCTTAGCTGTAAATGTGATAATGATATTCAGAGAAACGTAAATAAAGATGATATTGGCATTTATATATTGGTGTATGAACCATCAGTTTGATTGACACCAAAGCTGATTGAATGAAAATAGTTCTTACAGATTATTTATTATAGAAACATTCGATATGAGTAGTTGTCAGTTTAATTTTCATCAAAGATAGCATAATAAATTGGTTGTATACATAAATTTTGTTTATTCATTATATTTGCATCCACTTTCTAATTCTAAAATCTCGTAGCAAATTGTGTATTTTGTAATTTGTTTTTTTGAATACACATATTGTTTTTTGAATATATAATGAATAGTTCTTATTATGGCAATAGAAATTTAGAATTAGATTTAATGTCCTTTTTGCACAATTCTTTATTAAATTAAGTATGAAAGTGTTTTTATTTGGCTATCTACTAAACCAATGTCAATGCACATAGATGTAAAACACTCTAATATTTCGAGAATAGTTTATTTGGATGAGAAAAATGAACTATTTTCGCATACATTTTGCATAGCATTTTTTATAATATCAATTAAATATAATTTAGATATGGAATACTCAACGTATCATGCAAACTTTAAACAAAAATTAAACTAATATAGGATTAGTTTTATAAAAATATGTAAGTCTCACATAAAATTCATGAAACAATTTATAGATATTCACATAAATTTTGAAACGCTTTGAACAGTGTTGAAATATTCGATTATCAACATATCCAGTAGGGTGTTATAGTAATTTTAACAAATTTTTTGAATTTTTCTTTTATTTAAAAATGTTGATTAATTGATTTCTAATATCAATACTGTCAGTTTGAGACTTTTGAAAAAAATTGTTTAGTGTAAAATTATAAAAAATATCATTTCTTGTGTTTATTCTAATGAAAAAGACAATTTTTTTTAAATTTAATTTTTGAAGTTTAACTTGTTTAGGTTGCCAGTATAGAAGTAAATATTAAATATTCCGTATGTTGGCATAAGATCTATTTGATGTGAATGTCTTTTTGCCATCAAAATAATAATGAAATGAGGATTATGAAATGCAAAGATATAAAAAATCACTTTCAATTATTTATCGCAACATGAAAATAATATATGGAACCACAGGGAGATAACAAGTTTGATATATGTATCATTGCAAATATTTTATTATATGCACATATATTTTTGAACAGCAATTAGAACTTCGTTGTCCTATGAGCCGTTATTATGATTTTATAAGCTACGTTTTTTTTTCAAAAGGCAAAAGAACGGTTTGATGTATTATATTAGAATTTCTTTAATACTGACGACGTTTAATTGAATGCAGCAATGTCGGAAAAAGGCTACTTTTCTTGTAAACACATTGCTATCTATATTTTCAAGTGAAAACGATGTCACTACTGACTGCTTCACATCAGTATGTCCGAGGCGGGTATCAAACCTGATTCCTGGAATTCGAATTTCATAGGTCTATCCACTAACAGAGCTAAAAAAAGTTCCATTAAGAGAATTAATTGATTTTGACTATATCTAAAAACACTTTTACTACACAATACAATAATTTCACAGATCATACTTATTTATATTACTCGGTTTCTAACTATTATCATCCTAATTCCAGATGGATTTTAATCTTGTGAATTTTTCGGAGCAGACTGCGTAGATTGTTATTTACTAGCGTCTTAACGGTTTGATAATCTGAAAAGCTGCTGAATATAAATTATTAAATAATGGTAAACTGTGAATAATTTATTAGTCATTTTATACGAAATGAATTTGTTACCAGGGCTGGTTTTTGAGTAAAATATTTGACATTTTGAAATACTAGAAATAAGTTTATCTGATGTCTGATAACAATTTTAATTAGTAATGAAAGTTTGAATTTAAAAAATAGCCAGAGTATAAATAAAACAAATTAAATGTTATAAATATTATAATAATATGTACAAAATTCAATTCATGACATTTTATGTATTTTGCATGACATTTTTACTCGGTGGCATCCGAGTGGAAAGGGTTAGTTCTTCAGAATATATGTATTTATTTTCTCAAGATATACATGAATTATATTGCATAAAGGTCTAACGGTTTTCAAGTAAATAACAATTACTTATTTTTTTATCAATTCAAAATATTTATGAAATATTTTGTGGATCTTGACTCCCGATCATTTTTAGTGATAATACCAATTTTTCGTAACTAATAGTTATTTCTTTTTTGTGAAAAAGTTAAGGAACAAAAATTCCGACATTTGTAATTGATTCTCTTACTTTCGGAATAATTATTTTTGTATCTTAGGAATTTTATTTATCATGCCTTAGAAATTCTAATTCTAAAGCTAAGTTAGAATAAGATACCACTCACACTTTTGTCATTATTTATTTTCCCGTAAAAAACGTTTGTTTTTGCCAGAAAATCCTAATTGTATGTTTTCCGAACATTTCAAATCATTGTGAATCGGCATTAGGAAAAGTTTGTGTTCATGTACGTATGTATGAGTTTGTGTGACTATGTGATCCAAAATTTGATCTTTCGTCGACGTGTTTTTAGAAAATTTGTTATAAAAGTTGTTATAAGTCGCATGGATACATATTGTGACGAGTAAAAGGTGTTGAAACCCCTTTCTTGAGGGTGCAATGACTACCAATTATATTTTAACATTGCACTCCCCATTAAGAAAGGATTACTCCAACTCCTTAACCCGACTTCTATGAACACCCTGTAATTACCTGTGGAAACTGACATCACTAACTACACGAATGAAACAGAATGTACTTACGTACTCAGGATTATAGGTATGAGGGCATGACTGTATCTAGGTACAGTCATGTCCTATGCCTAAACTTTAAAGAACTAAATCATCTTTAATTATAAGCTGATTAATAAACTGACGGAGTGACGGAGCGACGTAGTTACGGAGGGAATAGCTACTGGACAATACAATCTGACCTTTGCTGGAACAGGTTCTTCTCTCCTGGCACAACACACTCACCACAATACACTAAGTGGGTCCAAGGGCTCCCGCCTGGACCCAACAGACCTCCTCCGAGGATGTTACAATTCTTAATTAATCATTCTTAACCCTCGACTTGGACCTTATATTGCAGGAACCCTAGTAGAGGTGGATGGGTGATGCCTTTTGCACTGAGGGTTGTGTAACCCTTTGGCGACAATGCCTATTGTCGTTTTTTTTTCAACTTAAACCAAGGTAAAATGTCATATTTCCGCTTGAAAATAGTAGTCATTTTGCAACGCTTTTGGTGATCATTTTTAGTTATGGAACGTTCGCTACAGAGTGATAACGCAGTCGAAAAACAACAATCTTCTAAGGCCTATTGTCGTTACAATACTGAAGTTTTTTTGCAACTTGAACCAATGTAAAATGTCATATTTCTGCCATTTCTGCTTGAAAATAGTAGTCATTTTGCAACGCTTTTGGTGATCATTTTTAGTTATAGAACGTTCGCTACAGAGTGATAACGCAGTCCACAAACAACAGTCTTCTAAGGCAAATTTATAATTAATTGCTCATTCCAGTGTTGATGTCTTTAATGCTTAGTCCAGCGGTTTTCAACCTGTGGGACGCGCCCCTTCAGCGGGTTGCCAGGCTATTCTAAGGGAGGCTTTGCAAAAATCAAGGGAGGCGCAACAATTTTTTTAGTAGAGCCGGGGCCGCGGTGCAAAAAAGTTTGGAAACCACTGGCTTTACCAATTTCTGCAGAAGGTCTATGGAAAAATTGGTAATCACCTATAAAATTTTAAAATATTTAATTTAGAAAATACTTAGAAATTTCATGGATCATCACTCCGGGCATGTAGTATACATTGGTGTCTCCAAATATATAATATATATATTGATAGTGATTGTATTAGTTACGGGTCTTCGAAAACTTTCCATTCGTCGTAGTAGACTTAATGCCGCCGTAGCTCCAACGATTCATTCCAGCTGGTTTCGCACCATACCGGTTGATTACATTGTCGTTAGTATTTCTTTTGCGCAGTTAAAATATATTACCAAAAGCACAAAAAATGACAACATGAATCAGTAATACAATACAAATTGACAATGCTTACCAATAACACGTATTTTTAGTAAAATCGATGGAAATGTAGATTTTTTTTGTAAAATGGACATATGCTTTTAATTTTTTTAAACCACAATTTGAATTCTATATTCTTTAACCTGTTATGATGATAATATTATTATTTATGATGATATTACTTACATTAGCTATTAGAAGCTCAATGATTGTCCTATCTCAGTTTTGATATACTATTTGACCTTTTCCTATTTGTGATGACTTTTTAACTGTCTTTTTAGTAAAGCCCGGAAGGGCTATTTTCATTTGGAAACATAAATTTGATCTAAATTTTCAAGTGAAAATAGATATCACCGCTGCACATGATGTCATGTCGCACGTGCAACTTAAATTTTCCAAATTAAACATATAATTAGGAACGAATTATAAATTAATAATCACTATAACAAAAAAAATGGTTTCATGTTTAGATTTTATTGTTAAAAAGTTAATTAAACTGCTTCAAATTTAATAATTAACAAAGGCAACATTTAATTGATGATATATCGAAATAGATGTTAATATATTCAAACTTATTTCATATTATAGTGACACAATATAGTTATTTTCTCGAACTGTAAGTAAATGTACCTGTAACCAAACTGGCTGATTGATATTTGAATTTATGCCATGATTAAATGTTACATTTAAAGCAAAATCACGCAATTTTCTCAATCAATCTTGAACTTCGACAATAACATTTTACTTATCTGTGGATCACTCACAGACACACAAACATAGTTTTACAGTCCTTGGTTTGACAATTTCGTTCATTTGTTGAAAAAAATCAGAAATTTGAAAAATATATTTTACTTGCAATTAGTCAATAGATTCCTTTTTGGACAAACAGCGCAGACAATTTACAAATCGATGCAAACCATAAAAAATTGGAATGTGTGTAATAGTAAGTTAATAATATTCCTATATAAAACATAAAATACAAAAACATGAAAAATTGCTTTATTATGCAATTTAGAAAATAAACATTATTTCGGATTTTATTTATAATTATCATTTATTTATATTTCGCCATTCTCTTTTAATTTTTTCTAACAATTGTTTTGTGTTTTTACTATCAGCACATTTGCCTTTAGCATTTAATTTCTTAACATGAACTAACATTTTGTTTTTAAAAGCATGCCATTGCATAAGTCCTAAGTTTTTACTTAATGCTTTTTGTAAATCCAAATTTCTATAATTTTCCTCTTGTTTCAAGCATACAAATAAATCTCTTGCGCTTCTAATATTATTAAAATTGAAGTCTTGGCCGCCTTGATTGTGATTTTTATTTTTATTTATATTGTGGAAAGTACGATCAGGTGTGTTTGACTGTTGTGTGACACAAATTAAATTATTTTTTACAATTGACGTATCAGATATAAACTTTCCACCAACATTTACTGATTTATTTTTATTTGATTTGTTGCTTATTGGCGTTTCTTTTAAAATTGGAATTACAGATTCACCTATATTTATAGATTCCATTTTTCGCTTATTGGATTTAACTTTACTACTAATTTGGTGATTTTTACATGTTTCTGTTACATCATCAGAATTATCAACTTTCTGAGAATTCTGTTTCATAAATTCTTGAATTAAATTTGTTCGGGAAACAGTCTCACCAATATCTTCCATTTGTGGTTTTGAAATTTTTAGTGAATGTTTTTTCTTTTTACTCAACTTTGAAGCAGTTGTGCATACGGTCTGCTTACATTGTGAGTCTATGATTTGGCAATCTAAATCATATTCGCCACAATACTCAACATCATCGTCTTCAGTGATATCTATAAAATTTACTTCACTAATTGATGGAATATCTATGCAAGTAGGAATTTCGTTATCCATATCATAAGACAGCCATTCTCTTAGATTTGTAGGAAATTCATATTTCTCATTCAACCATTCTGGTCCACTTATTTGAAATTTATTCATATATGGTAACAAACTAGAATATAAGGTTGACGATTCTTTTAATAAAGTTTTACAGATACTCCAAATTTTACATTGATTGGCAAATGTCAGTAATGAAACATTCCAAGATTGGCCACGTTTTATTCTGTCCTTATAAAAGCGAGTAGCATCTTCGCAGCATACTAAGATTCGTGTCATGAATTTCATCAAGGATTGCAATCTCACAAGAATGTATTGTAGCATTTGTTTTGTTGGTAAATATGTTCCTTCTTGATCAAATTTTTTTGGAATACAACTGTGAAATTCAATTATATCTGAAGAAATGGTTGTATTCAAATATTTTTTTAATGCGGCAAGGATTTTGCGTGTATATCGAAATCCTATATCATTTCTGAATTTTCTGCTCATTCTATATACAATACGAGAGAGATATTCTGTTTCAACACGTAATTCTTGTTGATTGGAGAGAACATTTGGTGTCTTTGAAAATATGCCATATAACTCTTCTACATCTGAAAAAATAGCTGCTGTTAAAAAGGTACAAAAAGTACAAAAGCTAATGCAATATTAAAATACAATATAACGTGAACGATTCCTAAGCTTTGTAATACTATATAATACTATATAATTCACTTCATATACCTATAATTTTGCCACATATTTTATATTTATTAATTGGTGGGGCTTTTATATCAGGATCATTCCACAAAAATTGATTCATCATATAATTATTATGATTCTGTAAAGTGTAAACGTACATTTATGCACTAATCATAAAGGTTATGTTTTCTTTCTTGGCGCATGTGCTTTTTGACAGCTTGACAGTTTTACAGCAGTGTTGGGCGTGCAATCTACACAGTAGACGCTTTTATACTTCTGGAGAACATAAAGGACCTGTTAACCATAGATAAACTAGCTGTAAGTGGAATTCTGTCTTAAGGCAATTGAGGCATCGTGCCTTAAGGCAAATTGCTGGAACTTCCCGTACCAAAAATTATTATTTTTTTAAAAACGATTAACATTTTTGAAAAAAATTTACTTCGGAAAAATAAGATTTTTGACAAACAATTAGACAAAAAATTACTTTTTTTTAAAAAAAAAATTTTTGTTAATTTTTTTGTTTTTGAAAAAAAAAATATTTTCTTTATTTTGACATATTTTGAAAGATCTAAACTTTTTTCAAAGCAATCGTACTGCTTTAACTGCATAAAGACGAAATATCAAACCGCGTAAGCGCCGCGTCGACGTCTAACGCGTAAACATTGGTACGGAACCCATAGGAATGTAAACCAAAATTATACTTATTGTTAAAATCTCTATAAAATATCTGATAATTTGATGTGCATATGTCTAATGATCAATTTTGACCGCCAAATGGCATTTTTTTTTACTTTTTTCATTAGATCTCCGAAACCGCTAGACCTGCCTTTATGAAAATTTGATCGGTTCTTCACCTTGTCAATACAAGTAAAATGTTTTTTGAATTATTAAAATCGGACGCTCCGTTTTCTCAAAAACTGAGTTACCGTTTTCGGCACTTTTTGCCCCGTATCTTCGGAACGGTTAGATCTGACTTTGCCAAAAACTAATCAGCACGTCTCCTTATCAATACGAATCGAATGTTTTTTGAATTATTCAAATCGGTTGATCGGTGTTCCCGAAATCGTCGACGAAAATTTGTATCCGCACATACATACACACACGCGCACACACACACACACACATACATCCATTTTTTCTAAGGTATGCCAAAATGTTCAGAAACCTTTGAAACGTAAAGATATATAAAAATTTTCATTTTCGATTTTTTTGCGATTACTATAACTTGCCCTACGGGAAGTTAACAAGTATGCTGTTAACGACCACAAACGTCCTAATTTATTCATTTTTTTTATTTGAATTTTAATATAAGTTTCATACATCTCAGACACGCAGAATTGCCTGGTATGAGAGATCATACAAAATATCTATACAAAGTATATATTTTCTAGATATGATATGGTCATTCAACATTTTACCATTTATTCTATAATATATACGTATATTCATTCTTACATTCATGCTTTAGTCTAATTTATTTATCTAGATTTTTTTATAATATTCTTTTAACTTAATATTAAATTGCTTCCTTTTGGCCATCTTCATTTCTTTCGGAAGCCCATTGAATAATTTTATACTCCATATAGTGTTCCGCCTGGTTTTATTTGTTTTTGTTTGTTTTAGATGATAATTTTCCTTGTTATTAGTATTGTGCTCGTGTATTTCCTTATTTATAGTTATCGATGTGCATGTTTTGATTTTGTTATGTTTAATCTAATGTATTAATTTGCACTTTTCTATTTTAATAATTTTATTTAATAGTAGGTAATAGTTATTTTTGTTACTTTATTTATTATTCTATATTTTTTGTGGTTTGACTCCATGTTGCAATTCCATACATGATTATAGGTATTATGTGCGCTTTCAGTATTAAAATTTTGTGTTTTGTTCCAAAGTAGCGTATTCTCTTTAGTGCGACTATCTTTCTTTTCATTCTTTTTATGTAGTCTGTCCAAGTTAATTTTTGATTGATTATGAGTTCTATATATTTTATATTGCCTAACTATTCAATTTCAGTTTTGTTAACTTTAAGCTTTAATTTATTTTTTTCTTTACTTCTATTTGGTTTAAAATATATGTATTTTGTTTTTTCTGTATTAATGGTTAAATTGTTCTTAATTAGCAAATTTGAGTTTATTGAATTGAATACTAACTTATTAAAGGTATATTTTAATCTAGATGCACGAATTTTGCGATTTTTGAAAGGCCGTAAAAAAGGTATTAATAACCATTTATTAATTTATGTTTTAAAAATACAGCATACAATAGTTTTAATTCTAGCAGGTGATGAAGTAGAGGGTTTCACCCACCTCAATATTAGCACGTGAAAAAAAAAAATCATTAAGAATAATGTCGCATTCGTATGAACTATGTCTAAGTTAACTTTTTTCAAAAAATAGCGACTGCATGAAAAAATAAAATTTAACAACGATTTTTGATATTGTCGTTTTTTTTTAATTTGAATTTGAGGAGGAGCTTAGTATATACTGATGTTTATATAAGAAGGCTATATAAAAGTTACATATGTCAAGTAGAAATTGATAAATCGTGGGTATCGTATCGTAAAAGAAAATTTTCAGAAAACGCGTTTAAAATTTCGCAGAGGAACAAAACAAAGATGGATTATCGTGGTCAAACAGCTATATCTCTGATAACAATTTTAAATATCGAAAAATCCTCTTGTACACACATTCTTGAATAGTAATAAAAAAAATCGATTTCTTAAAATTAAATTTTTAATGTACAAGGATTTCTAAATAATCACACAGGTCCACAAAAAAATTTGTCTATATTGGGTGTGCGATATATGTTTTCTAATCTACTTTCTAACCCTGAACACGAATCTAAAGTCAAAATTGGGGGTCAAAGTACAAAAAATGGTGATAAATAAAAAAAAAAACGACAAAATGTCCGATCTAGTAATTCTTCTGCATGATAATTTAAAAAAAAATAGTTCCTGTTCTTTCTTGTTCTATTTTACCTTAAATAACTATTGAGTTTTACTTAAATGATCTATTGATTTTTTTTAATAAATACATACGATCTTTTGGAATTCTTGGTTTTTGGTATGTTATTTTTAAGTGAACAACAATAGTCTGTCAACATTCCTCGATTATATTTCTCCCTGGCGTTGAAATGAAATTACCTGGTGGAACCACTCATTTTTTTATCAGTAACTGCAGCCAAATAGGAATGAAATTCAGATGAGAGTTCAGTATATATATTTTTAAGGACATTGTGCACCCTAAAGCTCACTCTTTCACTATCATGCCATGTTAACAAAGATCGTAGTCCGGACTACAAATCTCACTTTTTGATCGATTTTCAAGCGTCTGCATCTCTATATAGAATAGATAAAATGTTTGGATATTATAGTAGTGCTTTTTGTTTGAGGCAAACAAATATAACAATCACTTACATATTTCTTAGGTTTCATATTCATACAATATAAATATACCTCAGCAAGGATTATGATACCCTTATATTACTAAAAAATTGAATTTAAAATATTTCAATAATATTAAATATTTTCATTTTTCGTCTTATTTATCTCGGGCAGCATAGCATATTGATGTTTAATGGAATAAAAACAATATCCGTTATATTACATAACAATAATAATAATTAAGCTTAAATCGTAGTTACAGTTATTATTTTGACAGCATATGCTTAAAAGTCGAGATAAATTTTTGTACATTATAAATGTCAAATTTTGTTTTATATGACGAATATGATATTAACCAGAAATCTTATTATATATTTTTTTAAATATTTTATTTATAATTGCTTTCTCATAATTGCGGCATGTGTAAGTGCTAATGACTTTTATTGTTCGCTGAAGTGTGATCCTCCGGCAAAGCATGTGCTATGCAATTACAAACAGGCAAATAATACATTTTGAATAAAACGTTAGATAATATGTTCTAGTTAAATTTAAAATTTTAAGGGCCAAGTTGCTGACGAATGTATAAACTTTACGAGACTTGACTTAAGTCCTGGAGATAAGTTGTCAATCATTGAAGAGGTGAATTTAATTAGAGAAATGTTTGCTGAATCTTATCCAGGCGGAATCAGTAACATGTTAGCATTAGTAAGTTATTTCGCGAAAAAGTGGGTATTTATTAACTACGATTTAATAAATATTTCTAAATATTTACCATAATTTTAATTTGGAAATATATTTCCGTTAATTTTAATAATCATTTTAGACTTGGAATGATGAGCTTGCTCTGATGGCTACTGCTTGGTCCTCTCGTTGTCCTACACTCTACGAAACTGATCCTTGTCCCAAAATTAACGACGATGAGTATTTTAGTCAAAATTTGGCGCAATTTGTTGTTAATCCAGGATCAAGTCTGCGAACTGTAGATGAATTAGTACGCGTGTGGATAGAAGCGTAGGTTTTAAATTTTGACTTAATTTTTGACTTTGAAAATAATGTTGATGGGGACAATAGTTTCTAAAAATATATTTACAAGATTGCGAAGACGATTATCATTGATAATATTGTAACTTTAATGGTTCGAATAGCAACAATAATATTTTGACAAAATATCATAAAGTTTCTGGTATAAATTATTTGGTTTGCATAAACAACTATCATATTTCAAATACTCAATTTTACCTTTCATCCCATAGTTTGCTAATATTGCGTATATTTCCAGCCCAGATTCTCAATATGATCGAACTTCATCATTCGATCAGATTGTCGATCCATTGGTGTCATCTATTGGATGTGCTTGGTCGGTGTTCTCAGTAAGTTATTTAAAGCATCAGTTAAGCGTTTTCTTTTCAATTATTGCTCATCAGAAATAAAATACACATATTAGCTGAGCTACATTTGAAATAGTGATAATAATTAAAACTAAATCAATAATGACAACGTATAAATTGCGTCCTTGTTTAACGGAATCCAAATGTTATTTTAATTAAGAATTTATAGATAATATAAAATTAACAAATAAAATACGATAATTTAATAAAATTAACTAACTTATTGTGATATTTTTTGTGTTTTGTCTTAATAGTGCAGGATTTAATTAAAAATTACTTATTATTTGCCTCTGTCTCAATTTAAAATTTAACCAGGGCGACGGACTTTCTTTCAATGGAATTCAAGTATATATTGTGTACATTGCGCTTGCGACCACATATAAATCTAATAATAGCATTGAATTTTATATTAAAAAAATGCGTCAATATAAATGCGAATATTCATAAATACAAGTAAAAACAAGCAATTAATTATAAGTCACAAAGCAACTTGATCCTTGTCATGCGAAAGTTTATCATTCTTATGATTTCAGTTTGTAATTATTTATTTTTATTTTATTATCTTTGTTTAGAAAAGAATATAGAATCTGTTTTTGCATAAGAAACATCATATTTATACTTTATAAAACATATATTGTATATTATTTACAATATATGTTATTGTAGATAATAATATTAATTCAATAATTATTACATTACAAATATTCTGTCAGTTCGACAAAACTTTACAAAATATGCATCAGCATTTACCCTATCCTTGAGAATACAGAAATATGATTATGTATGTTCATAGAAATGTTAAAAAATACTATGACATTGACAATTGTTTATCATATAGATTCAGCCTACAGCAGATTACGCTATGGATATACAACGGATTGTTTGCAATTTCGACCATGCTACGAATAATAGTCGAAATTTTTCGATTGGGAAACCGTGCTCTAAGTGCCCACCTCAAAAAACACTTTGCATGAATGGTTCTCTTTGTTCAGCTAGAAGTAAGTTTTAGGTATTCGAAAACTACTAAAACAAAACAAATGAGAAAATCAATAATTGCGACTTGGTGCTGCTAAATAATGCAACTTTCACCATTCTGCCAAGAAGGCAATTGAAAATTTATAAGGGTATATAGCGAAATAGGAAGTCATCGAGCAATTTAAATTTTTTGTATAAGCAATAACATTTTATAAATCTGGTTTTGATGTATCAGAAAAAGTGTCTATATGACCGGGTTCGAAGTTTTATTGGCAGACAAAAAAAAAATTAAAATATTTGGTATATATGTAAATTATATACATATATATATATATATATATATATATATATATATATATATATATATATATATATATATATATATATATATATATATATATATATATATATATATATATATATATATATATATATATATATATATATATATATATATATATATATATATATATATTTATATATATATATATATATATATATATAGATATATAACTTGATTGGTATTTAGACGTCAAAACATATTTTATAATAAGCAGCCAATTCATCGAATTACTATATAATATTGACAATTGTTTATTTATACGTTTCGATACTCGATCCGCGTCAGTATTCAGAAAAAGAATTCCAAAAATTATAAAATGCATACAAATAATTATTGATTTTTTTTTAACTATATTGTAAAACAACATGTTTTTCTAAAGATATTCTCGCTTCATATAAGTTAAGCATTCAATTTATAAGCATAAGGAGTTGATATTTGTAAAAATCAAAATCAAATTTTTACCTGGCTGTCAAAATAAAACAAAACAAATTTTAAAGAAAAATAATCTTCAAGAGGTTATTATTTCAATATTAGATAAAATATGCCTTTGTTTTGAATGTTGCATTTAAATGTGTAATTTAATTATATTTAACGTTTAAATATACATTTATTATTCATTTAGATAAATATTTGTTTTGATATATATATATATATATATATATATATATATATATACTTGAATATTGTAATTATTTGCGTTCTGTTTATATATTTTATTCATATGAGTGATTTTTCATAGAAAGTTTTCAGGCGGTTATAACTGAATCACATACGACATTAGAACACGTATCAGAGAGAACAACATTATTGGAAACTACTCTTCCCCCAATTCAGACAACGGCTACTATACCGATAAGAGGTATATTACATTATTTAACACTTTATTTTATTTACTTCAATTAACCCGATTTTTTCGCTTAATCTAATACCAATTTTGAACTAAAATTTTTAAGTGAGTAATTTTGTTGTAGCATAAGTATAATTTTGTAAGAAATATTTATAATTTTTATCCACTTCTAGTTCAATTCTTTACTGAAAGAACTGTTTTGCTTGTTCCGTCATGTCTGCGTAATCTGATACATTGAAGATCGATTTTGGTGGTTTATTATTATTTAAATTAACCGACTTCGCTAACATTTAATAGTATACACCAATATTATGTTGATCGCAAATCGCCAATTGATTATTTAAAATTACTATTTATTTTAATTTAAATATATTACATCTTCTGTAATATACCAAATACTTTGATATACAATTTTAATTACATCAGTGGCACATCAGAATTAGCTTTTAAAATACTTCATGGAAAAATTATTTATATTATATAGAAATGGAGACAAACCAACCTATATTTATTTTATTGTTGATTTAGAATCCTAAAAATTATTACAATTTTTATACGTAAAACATTAATTGCAATTTTTGCAAGCCAAAGTTTGTTTTACATTATTATATTAAAATACATTTAAAATGATGTTGATATTTTAATAATATTGTGTAGATATCACAGAAACAACTGTCACTCCCCTTCCCGTCACAATCCCTTCGTCTACCGTTTCCAATTGTGCTACAACGGTTTGTAAGATTGATGATCGTGGACGCGCTCATGGCAAACGCCGGAAAGGAGATAAAGCGCGGATGTCGACTGTTTGCTATGAATTTGTGACAAAACTTGTGAAAGTTTCATCGAGAAAAACTACAACCTCTTTACCTACCCAACCTATTAAAACCACAACTCCCGAAGCGAAAAAAACTGTGAAAAGTTCCGATTCATTTATACCCAGGAATAGAACGATAGATTTTCCATTTATGCACAAGAATAAAACGGCAAATAGGGAAAAGATAAACATTACTCCCAAAGGATCGCGCAAAGAAATTCTTATTGACAGGTCAAAGTTAAAGCTGGTTCTGAATATTTTTAATAGTACACGTATGAAAAAAAAAATCAGGAAAAGCTATAGGCGTGATGAGCCTTACCATAAATCTTCAGAATTGGGTATTTGGTTAAATGGCATTTGTCATTGTGAAAAAAGAAATTATAAACCTAATCACAATATAGAGAGTGCAAGAAATTGTGAACGCATAAATAATTTTTTTAGTGGCAGGGAACGCGACTCTGGTTCAAGAGCAGTTGCCAAGCCTTATTACGATGGTGAAATATGTATTTGCTCTGGATTTCGGATGAGATGTGATCTTATTATTGTCTTTGTGGTTTTTATAACATTGTATTATATCTGATCCTGAACATAAAACGTTGTGAAAGTATATGCAATGATAATAAAATAACGCTGAAATTCAATTTTATGTTCATTCGCTTTTTTATGTATGTTCTTCAATCTTACTTATTGCAGTTATTGAAGATAAAAATGTTATTTCGATAACTTATATTTCTAAAGAGTGCATTTTATTATTAAACACGATTCAACGTACACAGAGTATTCTAAAAGTATTTTAATATCGCTAAATGTTTCTTTTCTAAAAGCATTATGACATGAAGAGTTTTGTGATTCTGTTCAATTTGATTTTATTTTGAGAACTTAATTCGAGCGATATAATCAACTTCTCAAATACACTAAAAATAATATAGAGCGCGCCATAGTTGAAAATTTTGACCATAAAGGTCGGAGATTATAGTGCAGACATAATATTAGTTTCAGTCTTTTTAATAACAAAATTTCATGTATAAATATAAATGACTTAAATCGAAGTATTAAAATTGTCATATAGAATATGTCGGTGGAACCCAACCTCCAAAACCTTTTTCTAATTCTTGTGCTATGGCTATGCAAAGTCTATCTTGATTTGGAGCACCGACAATCTGAAAGTAATTAATTTTTTTCTGAAAGTTTTTTATGTCTCAAATATTGAATTATATAATTCATATATAATATAATTTCTTGAAAATTTGTAAGTTGATATTATATCCTAAAGTCAATTAACTATTTTACTTAATTAAAAATTATTTAAATATTTTTTAACCATATCTTATAAGAAAATTATATTTTGAAAAATTCACCATACCAATGTATATGAGTTCTTCACAGGCTTATATAGAATACATTGAATATAATTTTACTCGATGAGTTCAATTCTTTTATAAACTTGTTTAATTGGTATGAAACAATATTTTCGACTTTGAAATGTATAATAAACAGCAACTATCATCTAGTATAACTGGCCAATTGAACATGAAATAAAATTTGCACTACTAACTTGTATTCCAATAGGCATTCCTTTTGAATCTCTTCCCATGGGAACACTAGATGAAGGCAATCCCAAAATATTAAATATCACAGTGTAAATAGCGCCAATTAATTTTGCGTATGATTCGTAATGCAAAACGGCTGAAGTAGGAAAGTTTGGGTATAACAATACACCATCTTCCCCTAAAGTACTCTAAAAAAATAAAATTATAACATATAAAAAATAGTGGAATATATTAAATAAAAAATATTTTAAATAATTTTTTGTGAGGTACTTTAATATGCATGCGTAAAATAGTTATTCAGATTTTTTTTTAAATTCAAAGTGTAGGGGGAAGTCTCGTAACGCCGGACGGCACCTGGCGGCGGAAACTCTATTTAACACGTTTTATTAAGAGAGTATAAATTTTTTTAATTCAAAAAGCAAGTCAAAGGGGCGCGGGGGGCACATAGATACAGGATCACGCTCCAAGCCTCGCCTGTAACATACACGGCTACGGTGGGAGCAACCGTTTGCTGTTTTAGGCGCCACCTAAATATCAATGGAAGTAATTCTAATATATTTATGCATTTACATTTGAGTGGAATTAAAAGTAGTACTTGATTGTTATCCATAAAATGGTAGAATATTATTAGTTACTTTAAACAATTTTAGTAGGTACCACCGAATGAACGAACATATCTGTTTCTTAGCACCGGACACTAAGACGTCCCTTAGCGCCGGGCAGTAAACGTATTGATATTTCTTGTGAGAATTGACGTAATTTATTCTAATTATTTAATTTTGTTCTGTATGAGTGCTAACGGTTACTACATACCCACATTTTTCGTATTTCCTAGTCAAAGAATGAAAATCTTATGATGATTGCTCCAGCTGAGAGCATCGGTGTGGCCCAGCCAAAAGGGTGAATAAATAATGATTTTTTTGCAATATCTAACAATATTCGTCAAACACACATGTGCAGAGATTCCAGAGTGTGGAGATAGCTACATATCTGTTCAATGCAGGTTATTTTGAAATGTCCGGTACTAGGTGCCACTTTTTAAAATCATATTTTTTGTTACCAAAGTTTGATTGATAGTATTAATTATTTTTAGCAAAGGTCGTATTTTTGTTAATTTAGTTTGATTTCTAACTTTGTTATCTAACACAAGTCATAATTTAATAAACATTTCGTAAAATATTTTTTGATTTATTTATAAATAACCTTAGGTGTCTGGCACTCGGGGACTTTCCCCTACTCTAAATTTATAATATTGTCATGAGTATTTAAGATTTGATATTTATTAGAATATTTGACTGCATGTAAGGTAATTTGTTAATCTACCGTAATTTTTTTCTTCAATTCAGCTACTCTAATTTTGTTGGTTTCCAACATAGAAGGTGTTATAATACTAGTACTACATCTAGCCAGCCAAGAGAACGCTAATCCCGGTCCTGAGTATTTTGACAGTCTAAATATGAATTTAATTGTCTCCCAGAAAACGTTTTTACTTTTCTAAAATAGTAAACAAATCACTAAAATAGTAGAACTTCTGAATCATAAATCACATCATAAATTGAATACCTTTGGATCATTATCATCTTGTAAAACGTTCGGAATTTGAGACGTACCCAAAATTAGTACAAGGCTATAAAGAAGCGAGTACTTCATCTCTGTAAATCTCACCTAAAATTGAAAGTTGCTATTATTACATGTATATATATATATATATATATATATATATATATATATTAATTTGAAAATGATTGAACGTAGTTTCATGTTTCATTACCTCTTCTACTTTGCTGCATACGTTTTTCAAATAATTAGCAGCGCTATCGATAGCAATGCCAATTTCACTTTGAACTGGCAAAGTTAGTTTTTTCGCTCCGCAATCTTTCATTAAGTATACTGTAACTTTAGCCAAATCCACCTCAAATACACAACAAAATTCACGACGTTAATAATAAATATTTCATTTAGAAATAAACAAAGTAATACTTATATTACTTATAATTTGATTCTGAAAGAGGTATCGTAGATGTAAGTTATTTGTATTTTAATAATAAGTATTTTAATTTTTACATTTGTACGGGTTCTATACCAATGTTTATCTGTTAGACTGTGAAGCAGTGCTTACACGCTTCGCTATTTATTTCTAAAACAGATATGCAGCGCGATTGCTTTGAAAAAAAGATCAAAATTAAAAAAAATAATTATTTATTTATTTAAATTTTTCAAAAAAAGACATTTTTTTCCAAAAAATTCAAAACTCATATATATGTTACGGTAAATGTGCATATTTCGGTGAATGTGCACATTCACCGAGAGTGCACATTTACCGTAACATATATATTGTATTTCGAATTTTCAAAAAATTTTAAAGCTTCTAAAAATTTTGAATTACGCTACGGGATGTTCCTGCAATTTGCCTCAAGGCACGATGCTATGCACCACTAGTTTATAATGTTAATATTGATAAATATACCTTTTCATACAGTCGTAAAGCGGGCGCGTTGTCCCCAGACATAACATACATCATAGGAGTCAAGTCTTCAGCATATCTTACTATTGGACCTATTGTTAGGTAATTTGCAAAATCTGGATCTTTTGATAATGGAAAGTGCCCAGTCAATGGTATAATTCCTGCAAAAATTTAGTGATATTCAATTTTGCAACTAATAACCCAATACTCTTCGTTTGTAATTATTGATTTTTAATGGATTTGATGAATAAAAAGATTTTTCGAACTCCATTTAGTACAATAATTGTTTTTTAATTAATGTTTTTTACACACAGAAAGAAATTCATAACATCCACATATGACTTGAACTTGCGAAATATTATCCATTTTAAAAATGTAACGAGCTCCATTATGAAATAAATTTTATTTGACTGGTTATATACAAGGTGTCAAGCCGAAACGGGGTGATAGTATTGATCTTAACTATCGTGAAAAATAGAAAAAATAATAATTTTATGTGCTTTGAAATTTCGTTCATTTAAACTTTGGATCTGTAACCTTGAATAACATTTCTAGGACCACAGTTAAAAATAATGACACAATTTTTCCAAGTTCTTGAGAATTAAGACTTTTTGTTAAACTATGAATTTAAAATTTTCAAAATTAGTCGACTTTGAGAGGTCGATTTAAAAAAAATATGGTGAAGTTTATCAAATTGGCAATACGATAATAACGGCTAGCGCAGCAGTTCAAATGTTTCTGTCTTGCTCATTGGAGCTTGCGCGTACATCAAACATTTGAACCAATTGTGAGTAATAAAATATCACTAAAAATAAGGTGACCATGCCATTCATTAAGGTGGCCAAACCGGGACGATCTCAGATTTCCACCCTGTGTCCCGGGTTTTTTAAAAGCAATATTTGTGGGATTTAGAACTATCGTCCTGAATTTTCCCGGTTTTTTAAAAAAATTAATTGGTAAATTATCAGAAAATATGTAAACAAATCAAAAGTGCTAATTTTCTTAAATTAATTATGAAGAAAATTTAATAGAATTTTATACAAGGTTCAAAAGCGAAAAAAACATATAGATCGAAAAATATAAGATATAATATACTACATAGATAAAAAGGTATTACATATAATTGAATAATAACGTTCTTACTAAAAATCTGCAATTCTGGTTAAAAAAAAATATTCATATAAAAAACTGATTTTTTATTGTATCTTTCAATAGCATTTGATATTTAGGGATTTGCATTACTAAAAATTGCCGTCCCGGTTTAAAACATGGCCACCTTACTAAAAATTGTTATTTTTAGGTTTTTATTATTTTTATTGCGTTGCGGCTTGTCTTTGAGCTTTGGGATGCTCTCTATATACATATAATATTTTAATGAAAACCGTCAATTACAAATAGTTTTTAGTGTGCTGTTATCTAACCTGCGCTTGGTTTGTGTCCAAATATACCGCACCACATGGCTGGTATTCTAATCGAGCCTGCGATATCAGAACCAACGCCAACACACGATGCTCCACATCCCAATAAAGCACCCTAGAAATATGACATGAGTTTCTAAATTTGAATAATCTTGTCTATTTACGTCTGTTATAACATTTGTCAGGTTAAAATACTGCAAATGCAGTGTCCATTGTATGAAGTATGTGTTTTAAATAATATGCTCAAAAATGAAGATATGCGCTGTTTATGTACTAGAGATGGGTAACTCACTCCGAAGTTTTCACTTCGATACAACTCCTCCTTCGGAGTGAATCCGAGTGGAGTAGTCTCACAGGATTTGTCATATTCGACTTCCCTAAACTGGTACTAAATCTGTTAACATGTGCAGATTTTTTACTAATACAAAGATTTGGGTCGAAAGAAGTGGTCTTTTTCTCGTCTCGCAGCCAGTTTTAGGCCTTTCCAGGTATGTAATGTCACAAAATAATGCTATTTTGTATTCTATATTTATTATACGATAATGTTTGTCCGTAAATGAACTCTTTCAATGGTACAAAACCAGCTAAAGAAAATTTAGTATTATATTATAATTTTTAAACATTTATGATTATATAATTGTGTAAAAGTAATAGTATGCTTATCAAACTACTTGATGTATAATTAATAATCGAAAAGAAAATACTAAAAGAATGTGAGGTATTATTATTTTGTGATAAATATTATTCACAAAGATTTGTTCTTATTTCATGTATAAGGTTCACTGCATTATTTTCATATAAAAATATACTTATTCAAAGAATTCTATATTCTTTCTTCAAAAATAGTTACAAAATTGATTTTGATTCCCAAGTTTTTTGTCAATTTGATATTTGTATGCATATTGAAATGCAAAATAGTAATTATTATAATAAAATGAACAAAAATGTTTGAACTATTTGTAAACTATTTCCAAAGTCTTTATAAATCCTTAGATATGTTAACAACACACTAGACTCTAGTGTGTTGTTAACATCTCTAGTGACTAGAGAACACATTTGTGTCAAGTGTTATGTTTCAAAGTTGTCGGAGTTATGGAGTTGTTAAATGGATATGACTCCTCTCTGAAGCGGAGTCAAATCCTAACCGATTTGGCTTCAGATATTATAAACCGATCTCTAGTACATATATAAAATATAACGTGTGACAAAATATAATTGACGCTTTGCTTCGTTTTTTCAGTTGTGTCGATAGATTTTCGAAGTTCCGTTATTTTAGGCACAAGATAACCACAATAATTCTCTGACATTTTCTTCAATTTGAAAAGACTGTCGTTAATAGATGGCTAATCTTGCATAAACAATAATTCTCTGATGAGGCATTTCTATTGCAACCGGAATTGCCAAGAGGATATCAACAATGTAGAAAATACGGCCGCGTCATATCTTTCAGCTTTGAAATCAGAACTTGTATACACATGTATAACCATTAGTATATATTTCCTTGGAATAATTATATTAGTATTACAAATATACTTTTAATTAAATTTTTGTAGTAAAATTTAACAAATAAGCTAACTAGATTTAAATAAAATAAATTCAAATTTTTATACTTCTCCACCAGAAGATCCAGCACTCGATCTTCGTAAATCATAGGGGTTATTTGTTCTTCCAGTAACGCTGTTATATGTTTCACAGCACATACAGTATTCGGGAGTATTCGTTACGGCCAGAATAATAACTCCGGCACGTCTTAAATTTGCAACTGCTCCGCCGTCATTGGCAGCTCTTATGTTTTTGCGCGGCAGAGATCCGACAGTATATTTCATTCCTGCAAAAAATAATCATGTCATTTTATATAAAATGAAATGAATTATATATATTTATATATATATATATATATATATATATATATATATACTTTAGGGTGGTTCTTAAAATGGTCATTTTCGAATTTCCTTGCTCCCAGGGGCTCAAATGGTTCCAAATAAATAAAAAACAATTCTCTGAAAGTTTTAGCTCTTAATATTAACGTTTAGATAGAGCGCAATTCAATCAAAATTTTGTATGGAAATAGCATGGAAAAATTTTCAAAAATTTTAAAAATGTTTTTTAGATGTAATTTAGCGATCAAATGAATAAATAAAACTCATTCATTTGTCGCTAAGTTATACCTACAACATTTTTTTTAAATTTTCAAAATTTTTTCCATGCTCTTTCCATACAAACTCTGATTGAATTGCGCTCTATCTAAAAGTTAATATTAAGAGCTGACACTTTCAGAGAATTGTTTTTTATCAATTTGGAACCATTTGAGCCCCTAGGAGCAAGGAAATTCGAAAATGACCATTTTAAGGACCACCATAATATACTTATATACAAGAAAATTCCGAACGTATGGGAGAAAAACATTGAGAAATTGTACGTTGGTGAAAATCGTCCTGACTATATTGAGATCGAAGAAGAGAAAGAATGTGAACAAAGTCGAAATGGGACCTTGCATAAAAAATATGGACGGAGATGGTAACATACCGGCGGACCTGCGGAAAGAGTTGGTCGACAACGCACTAAGAAAATTAACTAAACTGCTGAACCAGGTTTATATATGTCACGACGATAGCTGTTTAGAAAAAGCCCAATGCAAACAAGTGGAACGACCACTTATATTAGTGAATTAATTCAATATAAACAGTAACAAATGTGTATTATAAGATTCTGAAGAATTAAATAAAGGTAATTATATGCAAATACATCTTCGAAATATAGTGAGCTATGCAAATGTTAACGATATATATTTTATTCAATATTAGGAACCATAGGTTCGTAATATTCAAAGGGTAAAACTGTCACTGGTTAATGCCACGCGACTTATGAAGCAAGAGACGCAAATCAAGCGACTTTATTTGGCGTGGACTGTTTTTTTGCTTCATCATGATAATGCATATGTTGAATGTTTCCGCGGATAAAATTTACAAATTGATGTTAGAACTGAAGCCGCATCCTTCCTAACCTTTACACCCAATCCTCAATGACTATTTTCTGTTCCTTTTAAAAACTGTCTGTACGGTGAGAGGTTTAGTAGCAATAACTAACGAAATGTAATCAGGGCAATCAGGGCAATCCATTTAATTATTTGGATGAAATAAAACCTCATTTGCTAGATATTTTACATAGGATATTGAGATTAATTATATACCAATATTTAAAACAATATTTATTCATCAACGGTTTGCCGCCAAATATTTTGAAAAAACGCAGATAAATCAAGTAATCATCCGTCATTCGTTGATGTGATTTATATATGTAATTGTATTGCTTTATCATTCGGGTTCAGGCGAGGTCAAAGCCTTTTAATTATATTCCTTACGATTAGTACATTTGAACTTGAATCTAAATTATTCCTAATCTGTACATAAAAAGTACAGTGCTTATAAAGATTTTTTTCTAATATTAATTTGCAGTAGATTTTATTATTGCTAATATAACACTAAATGCCTAAACACTTTCAGAATTTTCATTTTATACATATTTTTCTATCTACTTTCAAATAGTGTTATTAAAAAATTCCTAACATTACTGGTATTTGCGAGTTTGAGGTGGTGGACATTTTTACCCACGGACCTTTAGGCCCCGTTCTACCCTATATATATATATATATATATATATATATATATAAACTGACGGATAGCTATTTTGTATTTCAGGCGGAATATAATTTCATAATTTTTTATTGTTCATAGATATGACTCAGATCTACCACGTTATAGTAACATGGATAGAAAATCAATTGAAACAAGGGCCTAATACAGTATAATAATTGACAGAAAATTAAATAAAACTACTATATACTTGGAAATAAAGCTAGATACAATCTAAAAATTTAAAAATCTTAACATCTAGTAATTCAATAATTTTTACCACATATTTTTTGGGTGTGGACTATTATTAATAAAAGAAAAATCTAATTGTATCTGGATTTATTATTTTAGTCTCCCACCTTCGACAGAGCAACTCTCTTTAACAGTCAAAGGAACGCCTAATAATGGTTTTTCAAGAGCTAATTTCTCTACAGAGCTGCACGCGGCAATTTCCTCATCAGCTCTTTTTGCCTCGACAAGAGCTTGTTCGAAGCGATCCTCGACCACTGCATTAAGTTGCGGATTCACCTGCTGAATTCGCTCTATGTAAGCTCGAATAACGTCATAGCTGGCTAGCTGAAATTAATATTGAATTATTTGTAGCCTACTGCACTATGAAAATGAATCCTACTGAAACTTGGTATTACAAAATTTATCGCAAGTATATACAAAGTTACATGCAAATTATTACTTACATTCGATTTGAGTGCATGAATCAACCGATTTGAATGATTCAAATTGTATTGATTCCTGTTGTTGGGGAGACGTGCTGATTAGTTTTTGGCAAAGCCAAAATAGCCAGATATAGGGCAAAAAGTACCAAAAATAGCAATTTAGGTTTGAAAATATATAACAAAACGTCCGATTTGATTTTATAAACATTTCACTTGTATTGACGGAATGAAGAATTGATGAAATTTTTCGGTTTCAGAGCTCCGGAAATAATTGTTACATATAATGTTATTTGGCGGTCAACAACGATTATTAGACATATGTAAATCAAATTATCAGATCTTTTATAAAAATTATAATAATAAGTACAAGTTTTATTTCCATTTCTTTGGTTTCCGTGCCAAGATTTATGTTTATGTTAGCTTATATAGTGATCATTTTCGACAGTATAGATTCCAACATTTTCAAGAAATTTAAAAAATTGTCGATTTTTTTCAATATTTTCAAAATTAAAAAAAAATCAAAAATTTTCAAAAACTTTTCAATATTTTTCAAAGAATCTTGAAAAATATATATCTTTTTTAAATTCTCGAAAAAACTCTGTTTTAATCAACTGTTTTAAAACTTCAAAAAAAAATCGAATATTTCAAAATTTTTAAAATACGGTACGGGAAACTCCGGCAATTTTTCTTATGGCACGATGTCATGCACCACTAGTTCTGTACTGTACTTATACAGCAACATCTACAAATTATTATTAGATTTAGAAATTTAGTGTGACAATTGCTTGTGGAATATGAGTAATTATTTCATGTGAAAAATACTACGTGATACACATGATTAATTTTGCTAAACAGTCACTGTTTAGTCAGTAAAACATTAAGAGTTTAGTTTTGAATCATTACGATTCAAAATTAATATCATTTTGAAGTTTCACGTTAAATAATCCACAAGAATTGTATGACGTTTTGACTATTCAAATGTATTTATTTAAGCTTAACCATTTAATAGATCAAACCATTCACATGTATTAATCTAAATTTACAAATGAAATTACGCGTAATTAGTTCAATGTACAATAAAGAAATGATTATGTGTACTTATGTGTAATTATATATTATATATGGTACTAATATAATTATATAATATAAGGGAAATACGGACAAAATGGTATGTATGGACAAAATGACACAGTAGTCTTATTTAAAAATTGGCTAGTTTCAACGAAAAGAAAAAAGAAAACTATGATAACAATACAATCAGATGTTGAGCGTCATTGTCGCAGTAGTTAGAGCGTGTTTCGCCCCTTGAAAAGTTTATTTTGAGGGTATTTTTCACACGTTCTGTGAAATTATTTCTTGCTTTTTGTAATTATTTTAATTAAAACTAATTAACTTATATACCAGTAGTTGAGCTTTCGAGTTATCAGGTGTTGATGGAAATTTGATTATTTATTCATTTTTGTTCAATTTCGGAAAAAATTACATAGTCAAAGTTGATTGCCTTTTAATTTCCACTCCAATTATGCAAGAAATAATTACTAAAAACAGGCCAAAAGATTCACCGGTGAAAAGAATAGACTTGCATTTGTTGCAAAACCCTTTTCTTTCCCGGCCAAGATTTGTTACGATGTGTGACTTTAGGTTAATACTTGATGCCCCAAATAGAAAGGAATAATTGATTCGTGAACTGCTTTTTTAAAACTATGCATCTCTGCATGAAATTACTATATTATCGGTAGTAAATGAACCAAAGTTCAGTAAAAAAGATTGAGAGCGGTTATGATATCAAAGAAAAATATAATTAAAAAATGAAACACCATATCATTTTGCCTTTCCATATGAAAATTAAACTCATAATATTCTAAAATAAAAATATGAAATACAGTAATAACGCCAAAAACATGAAACATATATTACATGAATTATTTTTCTTAAAACCAACTATTTGTGTTACATTCAAATATGAATAGTAAATTTAATAATATGTTTATATGTGCTGAAACAACTTTAACAACCGCCAACAAAAGTATAATAGAATTGTACCCTAGAATAATGTTGCGACAATCAAATGAACGATTTAACAATGAATAAATAAATAAATAAATAATGAACGATTCTGACCTCTCGTTGTCGTATTTTGACAGCTAACTGCGAGGCGCTGTACTCCAGAAGTTTACTAGTAGGAGGCGGCAGCTTTTTCGTGGGAAGTCGAGCTCTTATCCAGAAAAATGGAGCCACGAGAATTTGCATACATCGCAACAGGAAATTTAGTACTGCAGTTTTAAACTGCATCCTGTTGGTAAGTGAAAAACATTTTACATTTTTTAGCTTATCTAATTTAACATATGATGCATAGCATAGCAATGTTTGATACATTCACATCTGAACGCTTAAATATTTTTCGTCATTCAATTCTACAAGAAATAAAATTAATTAAGGGGTTACACTACTGTAGCAGCCTAAAAAACGTATGTTTTTGCTATTTTTTTGGGCGGAAGGAAATGTAAAAAAATCGTGATATTGAAAATAGTGATTTATTGTACTTGAAAGTATTAAAATAAAATATAATTGTAGAAAAAAATTAAAAACGGCGGTACCACAGCCATTTCGGAGAGCCGCGTCAAATTGGAGGCGCTCCGCGGCACGCAAAATAACTACAACAATTTTAATTTTATTCATTCGAATTTTTAATAGTATATTTAAAATAACATTTTTAAGTGCCCATCGTAGCGGATTTGAAAAATATCGATTTTTGTTCCTTTGGCGAGCACTTTATTCAAAATCGTTGAATTTCAACGAAAAAAAACGGATAGTAATTTGTTAATAATTGATGAACAAATTAACATATAGAAGATCTTGAACGATGGGCACTTAAAAATGTGATTTTAAATATACTGTAAAAAATTCGAATGATAAAAGTTCAAATTGTTGTAGTTATTTTGCGTGCCGCGTTGTAAAATAGTGTTTCGAGAAAAACGCGTTTAAAGTTTTCAAATAAATTATAGATAAGAAAAAATAAAAAAAAAATAAGTTTATTATTTTTTATATTAATCTGATATTCCTGCAACATACAGATACCTTTTTATTTTTATAATTTTTTTCTTATTTTCTTCCCTTGATGATTTTATATCAGAGCGTCCTACTTTTGGCACATCCCTCAAACACCGTTCGGCATGCTTAAGACGTTTATAATCGACTTTAAGACAAAAATTACATGTTTAGACGCCAATATTAATCTCCAAAACTATTTTCATTTATAAAATATTGCTTAGGCCATCGTTGAAATTATCCCCAGCAATATCAGGCGCAATATAGTCAACCCTTATATGTGTTGACTCTGCACTGATCATCTATTGGTTAAAAATGCTTTTACAGTTAATTTATGCAATATAAATATTTAATAATAACATATATTAATATATTTAAGAAGATACACGTTGTAATTTTTCTTTATAATATTTTTGAATTTGAGCGGTGTGAGCAGCCCGACGCGCATGGGAAAAAGCTCATAATTACAAGTAAAAAAATAAAGTTTTAGGTATGGAATATTTTTCCTCATATTCTAAAAGGTTCAAAGTATATTTTAAGCCTAAACTTTTTTTTTTTTGTTTTTTTGAAAAATCATTCCAGTCATTGAATAATTGCTAATGAATATTTCTGACAAAATACTAGATCGTGATTATATACAGTGTTATCTTTGAAAAATGTGGTCATGAAATTTATTTTTTGTATAGGTTGAATGTTGTAGCTATTATTTCGCAAATTTCTTTTAAAATTAAAAATAAGACAGTGGATCTGTTTACCCGCTAAGTGTTCGTTAGGGTAAAAAATATAGATGACACATTTAAAAAAATAATAAAAAATACATTTCTATAATTAAGAATTAACTTTGAATTGGATCTTTGCCCCGCTTTATCTTGTGTGTATTTTTTATTTGATAATATCCATCTTGGGTTGCTACTTACTATGCATAATGCCTGAATTTAACAAAATATAGATTCGTGATGCATTGTTTTGATTTTTAACTAAAAATAGAAATCAATTTTTCAAAATTAATTTGGATTCAGATTAATTCACAGCAAGCTTATATAACGGTCGATAACCTCTTACAATCAAAGTTCATGCAGAGCAATTTTACATTACTTTATCATAGCGATTAAGTTCTATATCCGCATCGAATAATCAAAAAAAGTATATTTTGACTAATAATTTTAGCTTATCAGTTATGTAAAAGTACCAAATATATTTTTTTTACTAAATTTTCAAACATATTGATTTCCGCAACTGGAACAAAATGGATTAACGTTCGTTCATAAAACTATTGAACTCTAATCTAATACACATTTTATAAATATCCATAGCGTAATAACAATATCTAATTTAAATTTCAAATTAAATGCAAACAAGAACGTTAGACAAGGTGTTTTTTATTTTGCGCGTGTTATGTTATACGTAATGCGCTATTATAAAAATTCAAACTAAATTAATGTTTGATCTAAAATCAGAACAATATAGGCTTAAGTTAATAATATATGAATTATCACTGTGAGTTTTCGGTGACATAATATTGTTTTGAATGAAATTTTCATAAAGTGTGGTCAAATCATCTTAACTTGTTTAATTTTTTGTATTATTAATAACAGGTCTTTACTCACTTTAATTATTCAAAAAATAATTAAATATGTTAACATTTTTATTATTATATTGCAATTTACAAGTAAAAAATCAATGTATTAGTGTAGAGTAAGTTGAATGATTTCGATGTTAGTTAGAAACATCTATGAACATATTCCTTACAAAATGAGTTATAATGTAGTCATAAAGTAAGGTATGGCGGGCCCCCAAGGTCCAATTTGAATTTGAGCAATTATATTGGGACAACGAAACTAATTATATCACAACAAATATCAGATATAAAATATATAACTATCAGACTATATTCAGTATAACTCCCAACTACTTTAATCATTGTTCAATTTTTCCCTATAGACGCTGTAAATCAGGATAGCCAGGTGGCAAACAGGTCATATTATTATTTGAATTTCAAAGGGATTTTACAAAATAATAGCTACAATATTCAACCAATGCAAAATATGAGTTTCATGGGAGCATTTTTTTACAGAGATAAACGGCAATTAATGCAAATAATCTTGATCTGGTATTTTGTGAGAAATATTCATAAGCAGGGTTGAAATAACAATTTATTCAATTTATCTTTAGTAAAATTGCTTTATTTAGCTTAACTTATTTTGTTTTTTGCTTTTTTTTAATACGCCTTTGTCAGGGTAAAGGGTAAGTTGTTCCTCTTTATCCCACCCAGGTGTAAGCTTTTATAGAGGTTATATAAAAAAACTGTTGAATGTGACTTAAAATTAACAATGCATCTTATAAAACAATTAAATACGTAATTTTTTTTAAGGTTTCGTATGTAACAGTGCTCACAGCCAAAAAAAAACTAACAACGAAAGAATTGGCTTGTAATACATTTTTTACCCTCTGCATCCAAATATTGTTGTTACAAAATTCCTAACTTTACTAGTTTTTGAGATATGGGCGGTGGACCTTGTTTCCTGCGGACCTTTAATACCCGCTCTACCCTATATATGATGTATGCAACATTTTTTGATCAAACTCTAGTATTGAATTTTAGTCCTGCCGCTACGACCCCACTAGCATATAATTTGAATTATATTTTTCAATTTCTCTATAATAACAAAATAATTTCAACTAAATTAGCTATTTTCTGACGATGAGTGAAATGCTTCAAAGCTACTTGGTCTCATAGTTAAAATTTAATTTTGCTTAATAAATTTATTAGGATAAACTATTAGAAGATTAAAACGGTGAATTATTAAAGAGTCAGTTAAAACTTTACTATATTATTATATCAAAACATTATTTAATTTAAATAAGTTTTTATTTAAATGATTTAAACTTGTACATTAAACTGATTATTAATATTATACATATTGAACTTTTAATTACTATTTATTTCAAAATCAGTCTGTAGAATCAAAAACATCTTAATAATAGCTCTCGGTAATTAACATAGGTAATAGAATGTTGTAATAATTTATTGATGCATTGAAGTATTAGTTTAACACGGCTTTCAATTAAAATAATGAAAAGTAAAAAATAATGAATTCATAATTATATGTGTCGTGCGGTGGCACTGACAAGCACGTGCTCGCAATATATGTAAACAAATCATGTCGACTCGAGTCCAGACTTCAGGTACAGAAGTCAACAAATTCGAGTATCGATAAAAAGTTGAATAAAAAAATTGAAAAATTATCATAAACTGCATAATACAATAATAATGAAAATTCAACAAGTTTTCTTGTCGCATGTGCTCATTGTCTAAAAAACACAAATATTTTGTTTTACATAAAGAAATTATGTAACATAATTTCGTTAAGTAATTGCTGATGTTGAGTGCATAAAGTAATAAAAGTATAACAGTTATTCTAAAAGAACTTTTAAATTTTTATCATATGGATGGATTTTGATATCAAAATTTATTATTTGCGAATAAAAATGCTTAAATTTTCTTATTTAAAATTATATTCATATAATACTAGTACTAGTATTAGTTGTGTTTGATTTTAGTGGAGACTTTGTACGGTTGTGCCATGGTATGGTAGTATCAGTTGTCATTAAAGCTAAATTATACTGATTTTGAGATAGGGTCTAAAGGGAGAAAGATAAAGAATGATTGTTCGAACAAGTTCTCATTATTGCTTTAAGTCAGTGCCTTACATTACACTACATTAACAGATTGATCTGTAGACCGCATTCCTAAGTCAAAAGTAAGTTTGCATTTTCGAATTCTTTTAATTATAATTGCTAATTGTTAACAGATAGAGTTCTTTTTAATGTTATGTTGCTGTAAATTGAACATTAGCAGTTATTTACCAGCAATTAGTTCTTGCTTTGATAATTTAGCTCAGTCATATTGATGATTTGCTTTCAAAAGTGTGCGTTGGGTACGGTTGTGACAAATGTTGGGGTATGGTTGTGACGTGCATTTCTTGTCCTTTATGGGCGAATATTAAAGAAATAAAAATTTAACACAACTGATTATAAGACCAAATACGAAACGGAAAGGAAAAGGAAAATTATATATAAGAAAAAAAAATTTAACAAAGATTTCTTGTTAACTTTTGTTTAAAAAATTATGCTTTGCCATATATTGTTATATTTTAGTCATAAGCTTTGTTTAAAAGTTTATATTGTGTTGTTTTACATATTATTGTTATTAACGGCAATAAAATATTGTTTTTAACCTATTTTTATTCCTGTCATTACTGACCCCAATCCTATGCCACTGGCCGTTTTTGTATTATCTGATTTTATGACTAATACATCGTATTTATGGACAATATTTTAGTATTTCCACGTAGAGAAATATTCAAATTACAATTTAATTTTCTTTTTTGCCAGCTAACTGGTAAATTATCACAATATCTAGTCTTTCCTACTAAATTATTAGATCTTCAGCCCGATAAGAATCTATGTATTGTACATTAACTAATTACAACATTATCAAAATTAAATTCATTCCATTCATTCTAAGAACAATTCCTTATTTGCATTTTTGACCAGCTTTAGTTAATTAGCTTTTCTTTATTTTTATACATTTATCTAACTTCTTATTGTTTATCAACGCTTATTAAAATTTATCTAGTGAAAATAGTTCTAATCGCAGTTTTATATAAAATGTTTTTTTGAATATTTTATGACTATTGTAATTATAAATATTATACGATATTATCCTTGCAAAAGAATACAAATGCGTAGAACATGTTTTGTAAGATTAATGAGAATCATACTAAAATGTTGAAAATACAGAATGCAAACTTATTATGATGTGACACGTCTGAAGTAAATTTGATATAAGAATTGGGTTTTGGGCTAATCAAGTACGATTCGATTTATAAGAATATTTTATTAACTAATAGGATTAAATTAATCATAAAACGCATAAATACGCATATACGATGCACATCAGATGGCAAACATCTGATATGCGTGGCCTGTGCCATTTGTTGATATAAATAGTAAAATTGCATATAATTCATGAAAATTGGTTGCAGAATGTTTCTAGCACAAGTACTTTTGTGACAATATATATACATCATATTAAAACATCAATAAAAACAGCTCCAAATTATAATTGAAAAATAAAGTGCATTCTTGATTACAGTTTATTCTTTAACGTTTTTGTGTTCATCATGATAATTATTACATTATATTTAAAAGTACTCTTGAAGTATATTCTTTACAAAGTAGAACTTAATTTAAAATCTGCATTATGACCGTTTTTGCTCTAAGACAATCAATCTAGTTTTATAACAGGTACTAGAACAATTATTTAGTTTCAAAGTTCATTTGAATATTTAAGAGCCGCTTTTTCACTCATTTGTGATTGAGAAAAATTATGTAATATATGTATTTGTCTGTACGAATATAGTAATATGAATTTTTATACATTTTTCTTAATCAACAGCTTCAAATACAACATAAACATAATATGAAATAATTTATTTAACTTATAATCAGTTGGCTCTGAGAAAACAATTTATTTGAGAATCAATTTATTAGATACCACCAATTTATTAGATGTTTCATATTGTGCCATTTATTGCGCAATTTGTATTTTACTTATAATTTATAAAATGACAATTTTATATATAGTTATAAAAATTTTGTTGGGAAAATGATGTTACTTTTGCTAATTAAGATTTAAGGATTTAATCTCTATTGAATTAAAAAACAGTTTTTAACACCGGTGTGCTTACTATAGTAAGCTTTATGACGACCGAGAAAATTATAATTACATGTATAGAAATAAATATTTTTCAATTAACTTAATGTGGCATAATGATAATAAATTGAGAGATTAGACTTATATAAAATATCGTAGATTTTTTGCAGTACATCGAATTGTATTATTATCTTTCTGAAAAAGAAATTTATGCTTTCGAGAAAAATTTGATTTGCTATTTTTATGTTGTCTCATGCAAAAGCATGTGGGCTAAAATTTAAATTTTCGTATGCCTTCTTATAGAAACAGCTGAACCGATTCCAAAAATTTAGATTCTATTGACTTGTTTTGAGAGACGATTATTCAAAACGTTTCTTTAGAATTAGCAAAAAAAGTGCAAAATATTTTTCACGTTTTCTATAACAATGTTATGCAGATTTTGAAAATTCTAAAATTGTTCGAAAGATAGTTAAGAATCGTGCTGATTAGTTTGTAAAGATTGACATGGTTGTTTCTTTATAATCCATAGTAGATTTTTTTTTACAATTTTGATGAAACTTTGTTTGACGATAGAGTTACTTTAGTTGATAAACCCAATTCTTAATGATTAAGTCAATTGTTTACACTTATCGGCAGGATTTTGCAATTTTCCTTAAGAAAAATGTCACTTATACCTATGTAGTTATTTGCATAAATGCAAATGTACGCATGTCTATAAAATAAATAGAATCCTCTTATTTAACATATGCTTAAACATATATAAATAAAGATGAAGAATGTGATTGATTAAATAAAATAGGGTAGAACTGGGCTCAAAGGTCCGCGGGTGAAAAGATCCACCCTCGATATTTCAAGAATAAGTAAATTTAAGAATTATATAACAGTATTTGAAAGTAGAGGAAAAAATATATATAACAGGAGAAAAACGATTTATTATTTAAAATAAGTTAAAACGGTTAATTTTACAAGAGATGAATTAAATCAATAGTTATTCCAACTCTGCTGATGAATATTTCTGACAAAATACCAGATCAAGGTTATACATAGTGTCATCTCTGTAAAAAATGTACCCATGAATATTATATTTTGCATTGGTTTAATTATGTAAATATTATTTATTAATTTTTTTTTTAAATTTATAATTCAACGTGTTTACCACCTGCATGTTACATTATACCCAGTAGAAAAGACCAGGTGACAAATTTTTGAGAAATATAAAAAAATACAAATTTTTACACTGATGAATTATCTAGGAATTTTACTGAACATAGTCAGATAGTTGTTTGTTTGATATGTGATATTTGTTGTAATACAATTGGTTTGGTTTTCACAATATAATTGCTCAAACTCAAATTGGACCTTTGTACCTCGCCCTATCCTATTGTTAAATTACTTAAATTGGACTTCTCATGTCACTGATAATGGTTAGTAATGCGATAAAATTTTAAAATATGATATGTTAGAAAAATCATGTAAAATACCTTTAATTTAAAACAAAACAAAACAAAACAAAATCACAGAAACGCGAAAATCACTGATTCACAATCACAGAACCTGCCCGGATTACCATACGCATGCGACTGTCAATATCTGGCGCGTGTGATGTAAATACAAACTACATATCATTTCGATTTTAGTGGGGGCACAGGAACGTTGACGAGATACATTTTTTATTACGATTCAGATAAATGATGTTAATTTGGCAATTTTGAAATTTTGTGAATTATTGGTAATTACAACAATAATTTATTGAAATTAAATTAATTTTGGAATTATAACATTATGATACCTTTCAAGTGATATACCGATATGGAATTAGCAAGTAGAATCAAATAATATTTGACCCAAATTACGTATCTGTTTGTGTGCAGGTATGTGAGCCCAAATATGACCTTTCATCGTAGGCTCAAAAACTGCTGCACCGATTTCAAAATTTTAACTACCAAAAGTATTAACGTTAACTAGTTTTGCAAGATGATATGTCCAGCCTTTTTTTTAATTGGAGAGAACCTACAAATTGTTAACCGAATTTGAAAATTTGAAAACTGTTCGAAAGACACTAGTTGATAAATCGTTCTAATTAGTTTCTGGCAACGATCAGCCGAGTCGTTTCTTCATAATTAGTTGTTGAAAAAATTCATTAAAGCTTGGAATAATAAACCTGACCAAAATTTCAAAATTATATCTTTTAGAATCTCAGTTACTCAATCTCAATTGACTAAATTGACTATTTACACATATCAGTAAGTTTTTGCAGTTTAAGGCAAAAATATACTTACACCTAGCTATAATATTATTTATAGTTTCATATCAAATCGATTAATTAAATTTTTATTATGATTATCGTATTTTTTCCCAAATAAATATATTAAGTTATTATGTATGCCTATCTTATAACTCTACATTTTTATTATATATGGCAAATAATAAGGAATAGTAGGGCAAAAATATACATTATTTTGTATATATCAATATATCCTATATACTCAATATATCCTATTGGCCATAATAAAATAAATAAAATGAATAATAATATTTTTGCCATATAAAACTATTGAGTATTAATTACCGAATAATATTCGGATTTTTATTATAAAATGCTATATAGGAAATGAATAGATTATTAAATAAAAAAATATCATTTTTTGTTTATTACTAATATATCCTCAAATTAAAAAAATTTTTTTAGCATTAGGATTGATTGTGAAAAAAAATTAATTTGGTCCTCTCTCTATTATATATTTCGATTTTCTTTAATCTTGAAGTTAACAAAAGCCTTTTATCTTATAAGCAAATGGAGTAAAAAAAGAATGGGTAATTCATATATTAATACACGTTTTGTATTCATTATATTATATATATATATATATATATATATATACATATATATATATATTTATATATATATATATATATATATATGTATGTATATATACACAAACATATATATGAACTTCGAACAAGAAATTTAAATCGAAATAATGAAACTAGTGATGTATTGTATTGTTTCTTAATGCTATTCCTAAACCTGCGATTTTTAAATAAGCTTATAACAAAATCAATTAATAATATAAAATTGTAATTGTAATTGATATATAGATAATATAATCACAACTAGAAGAGATAATTAATTCTAATAGACAAGTAGAGAGTCGATGTATCATCATAACATCTCATTAATGCTTAGTTCTAATTACGTAATTAAACAATGTTATATTATATTTGAAATGTAAATTAAAGTACCTACTTGAAAATATGCAATTTAATATGTAAATTATTTTGAGAAACGTGTGCATTAAATAACATGTACATATCATTCCAGAAAAATTATTATAGAACTAATTTTTTATGTGAGTTGTGTTTTTTAGAATTTTTGTACTCAACCTGTTAACTCTATTAGTATCGTGTGAATTCAAATTAATAATTCTCAACTTACAATTAGTTTTCTAAAATATTTTTCAGTCGCACGACTATAAATTACATTTGTCATATCAGCAGTTATACGATTGTTGATTGTTTTTTTTTTGTTGTTTGAAGATTCAAGATAACATCTATAACATTGATTCATTCAGAAATTCTAATTACAAGTGCTTGAATGGTAATTATGAAATACTACCGTTCGGTCGGATGTCGTTATCAATTTTTGATGGCAGTGTAACATTACACCTATTTTATCTTGTGTGAAAACTGCACTTGGAATGGCAAGAGGGTGACGAAGAAACAAACAATATTTTGAGAATTATCATTTATTATTAAACAAGATACATCAACTGGGTAATTAGTCCAGAAGTAAACTTCGTCGGATATCCATTTCAATCATTTATCGTTAACTCGTATTTCGTAATGAAACAAAACAATTTTAAAGATTTAATATTTATGCGTGGGAGCAAAACAAATTTATAAATATTAACGAGCAGTTTAGTCTAAAGAATGTTGAGAAACACTGGCTTTGATACTTTAGAATTTAGTCACAGTTGTCTCTAAACTAATGGTGTGTTCTAGTGTCAAAGAGATTGAAAGTTTTTGAAAATATATATAAAAAAATTGTTTTCAGTTAATAAAAATCTGTTTCTCCGTAGTTCAAACATTAAAATAAACTCTTATGAGTCCATGATATGTATATTATATAAAAATAATATTCCATACGTATTGGGTCCTAATTTGACTAGTGGACAAACTACACAAATTATTTAGACACAAAACACAAAAACGTATTCAATGAAAATAATACGTGAAAATAATATACTTAAAAAACTAAATTTACACATTTGTACAATGTACGTTCCATCTTTACAACCTCTGTCAAGAAACATGATCTTGATAAGATTTAAACAAACAAAATATTTGAGAAAAGTAGAAAATGATGATTTTTTTATATAAAATGAATAAAATTGTGGAAGAAATAACATTACAGGAATATGACATATAATCACAATGAATGTAATAACAATAAATGAGTGCGAGTTGAATAAATGAGTGGAGTATATAACAAAATATTAGAAAATTAGAAAGTTTAGAAAGTTAGAAAAACAAAATTTTCACTAAAAACGATGTTATTAAAAAAATGTGATTTTATACATTTCTTTTTGAAGAAATAAATTTTGTAATTTAAATATTTTTAAGTTATGTCTTTTTTGAGTTTGATATGTGAGACAAAAAGTATTATTCACTCGTTGTTATGGGATAACTAATTCGTAACAAACGGATTATTGATCGGATGAATTTTAAGGAGAAACACTTGACTGAAATTATTGATTCTAAATGGATGTCGATATTATAAAGTATGTTTTTTTAATTATTTGTCAAAAAGTGTAAAAAATTTAAATGATAATCATGCAACAGGTTGTGATCTGATCTAATGTTAACACTATTGGAAACGTCTCTGGAAAGCGTTTTTTTTTTTAAAAAAAACTTTGTCGTTTTTTGTTATATTTGGATTCTTTGTTAGAAGATTTACAATATATATATATATATATATATATATATATATGTGTGTGTGTGTGTTTTTTTCTTTTTTGCTGTATAGTGAAGGAAATGCCTTTATGCATCCCAGGCTGGCCTTTTGTCTGGGTATGTCAGACTCAATAACGGCTGGGTGTAATACTGACTAAAACCTTCGCTTTTCTCTTGCTGTTAGCCATTACTACTTGGGGGGAGGATCTAGAATACTATAATTTTTGCACTGGAATTCCGCACTTCTAAATGGGCGAAGTCCTATTCGCTCTTTTTCATTCCACAAATCGCAAGTCTATTAGCATTTCGGTAGCAAATGTGTCTAGCATTCAGAGTATGCACGCAGTCTCAGTTGTCATTGTCAAGGCCTGTGTGTGTGTGTTAAATGTTTACATACATTTCTTTAATTTATATTCCCTGTTAAAATAGGTAAATTCATTGTCAAATTATGCCATTGGAGGTCTTTTTCCATAGGCCATGAACATCTTTATGTTAATCTTTAGAAGCCCATTCGGGAAAATCCAGTATAACCTCTGTCTTGTGTCGACGACGTCTTTTGCAAATTGCTTCAATCTGCTGATACTCATTTTTTATTTGTTGACGTATACTTTCCGCGCCATCGTCCGGAACGTAAAAAGAATTAAACTGAAATCTTTTTGTCAATAAATTGCTCTTTTATAAAATAATACTTGAGTACTGTTAAACCGCTCTACGTGACGATGCATTTATCAGGCGGGTTTATTTGCGAAGCACACATTGTACAGGGTCAAATGAATTTTCCATAAATTTGATAGGCTGATTTATTTGGCCCGCATTTAGATTTATAAGAAACTTATTATTAGTTGTCAATGTATTTGACTTAAAAAATTGCAATAAAAATAATATTTTTTTTCAATATCATACTTGAACCTTCGCTTGGATATTAATATTTTGAAATTCAAAAATTGAAGAAAAAATAGATTTGTCAACGATTTAAGTATTTGAAACATCCATTATTTTTTTAAACCTACTAAATCTTGACAAGAATCGAAACCTAAAACCGTTCGCATGCAATTTTATTTAACTATCTCAGAAATAAAATATGAAGCATGCATATGAATCTAAAAATGTATAATAACTTTCTAATAGACTTGCATTAAATTTAAATTTTAAACACAACAGTATTTTTTAAAAGCATAATCAATGAATATGCTTCATAATTTATAATGCAAGTAAACTGTTCATTATTGATTAACAAAAAAGTTTACACCTTAGTAATTCGATAGTTCTTTGAACTTGCCATTGACATATTATCTTTTGCAACTAGCTTTTGTTTTAAAGATTAATACAATTTTTAAGACTAATCTCGATTTTTATCATAATAATGGTACACGAGCGAGTTGCTTATATTATAATTGAATAATCTCGTAATACCTTACTCTATTTTACTGCACAACATAATTATAGTATTATAAATAATTTATAATATTATTTGTATAACCGGTAGCAAAATGTTAAACTGAATATTTCTTTGATATTATCTAGTTATTTATATCTGCGCGCCAAAGTGCAAATTGTAATCATTGTATACATCGGTAAAAAAATTAAAAATGGTGTTTGCCTTAATATTATTATC